TCTCCTAGTATCAGCTTAAAGCCACAGAAAAGGAAAAAAGAGAAGAAACCACGCCAGATGGTTCTTTCGTCAACAATTATTATAGAACTATGAATGATGTGTATTTGAAGCTGATAACTTTTTGCAACCCTCTAATTGGATTTAAGTATGACTTCTCTTTTTCAGGTCCACCATTCCACGACTTCTCATTTTCAGATATCCTTCCAAGCAGATGAGGGGAACCTTTCAAAAAGAACTGCTTTTTGGAGTTTCCTTATTTTATGGGAGTTTCAAGCAAAAAAATGTATAGTTTTCTACTTTCCCTGTTCCTAATTTCTTGTTTGCATGTCAGTTCTGAATAATCCTTTAGGTTTTGTTGGGACAACAAAAACAAATATGAAGTCCAACCAAATTACACCATTGGTATTGCTGTTTGAAAAAAGGTGGATATATCTGTCTCTGAAAAGAGACTTGGATAGCATTTGATAGTAGTGTTAAAAACAGTTTATTTAAGAGACTTGTGTAGCATTTAGTGGTCATGCGGAAGAAGTGATAAATAACACTGGAAAATACAAAGAGAATATTAATAAAAAATTTTGATCTGATCAATTTGCTATATGATGGATTGAGACTAAATTTTTCTTTGAGACAGTTAACTTTTTCTTTTTAATAAAGTTCATTGATTTTTTCTGGGTTGAACTCATGCTTGGACTTAACATTATGCTGGATGATGGCCTTGTCTAGATTTGCTATGCAGTCATGCTTAGTCTTAGGTTCATACCCTAGTTGTCCTTGAGCTTATTTCCCGGGGTAGGATTGTATCTCTATCTAGCTTATTGATTGGGCATTGTCCATGGTCGGATTTGGTTGTGCCCTCAGTTGTGTCATGGTCTGACATGGGAATACATCCAAATTTAGGATTTCGACCATGCACTAGGGTGGGTTGTGTTAGGATCATCTTGGCTTAGGTCAAGTTTTTCGTTGAGTCTAAGATTATGTCCCCAATTGATTTCAAATGTGTCCAGTTGCTAGACTGTGCTTCCGTAGTTAATGTTGTGTTCCAACTTGTGTGTGACCGTATAGCTATAAGGAATCGTGCCTAGTTTTGGGAATGTCTTCATAGACTTGTGCTTTAATTTGGGACCATGTTCCTTACAGGCATTGAACATGGATGTAATTTTCAAGGATGTTTCTATCATTCACGTCCACGATGGAAACACCCTTCAGTATATAAATTTATTCAAGTAGAACTGAATCTTGAGAACATTATTATAATGCAGTTCAAGAATTTCTTGTGCGGTCGTGATAGATTTTAATTTTTACTTTAACGAGTTATTCTACTTGTTTGTCATCATATATTTAAGAGCATAAGTAACACTTCAGATTTTCTGTTGTATCTAAACTAATATAGATAGATCTCATATTAGGAGTCCATTGAACAATTGTACTAATTGATTACTTGTGCTAATGAATATTATATAGTTGACGGCTGATATTATTTGGTGCACTTATATTCTAAATTTGCTACTGTATTTGAAATAGCCATACATATTAATTCAATTAGTTTTTGTTCTATATAAATTTAACTAGTAATAATTATAATATCTAAACAAATAAAAATAAACAATATATAATGTGTATATTAGTAAATCATATATTTCAAAAATATTTTTCCATGAAAATAAATTCATCATAATTGTACAAATTATTTTGTATTTGCAAAAAATTATTTCAGCCCACAAGTCTTCAAAAACATATTGGTTAAAATGTACCCACTAAAGCACATGAGATCATAAAGTTAATGTTCAAGCTTAGAGGTGTTTCTTGTTCTAATGTTGAAGAAAATAATCTTGAAGATTTACAGTAGATCTCTATGTCCAAATTCCAAGCATGAGTAATCATGTTCATGAGATTGCCTGTGGATTTGGAATTCTTTACTTTCAAGAAGAAGAACAATTTGATACATTTGTTTCGTGCTTGTCGTTTTTAAGAGGTGTTTCTGGAGAAAGTGATGAAAATTATAAAATTAGGACTCTGTGCTACAGAAAAACTGTGGTGATAATAGGTAAACAATCTGATTTAGTGGATAATTACTCACAGTTCGTAGGTGAAAATCGTACTTAAAGTTGGTTTTCATTAACATTAACCCATTGCCTTTCTCTTGTAATTGCCATTTCTGCAGTCGGCTCGGTGTTAACTCCGACAAACTGCTAAACAATGAGCAAGTTTTTATTGAATATTGAAGGACCATTTTCTCATATTGAGGAATGAATCCAAAGGATAAAGGAGATGGGATCATTTCCAATTTTGGTTCACTACAAGTAGGGAACAGGAAACCTTTGTGTATCAGGGCCTGCAACCATATCATTCCAAAGCAGATCAGAAAGGGCCATTGTCAACGCTCCTACCTTCCCTGCTAAGAAGAAAAACATACAGTGGTTTCATCAGAATATATCTGTATTTACATACAAGTTAAAATGATCTTCTAGTAGTTTAAACTTATATGATTTAGAGGTAGCTGTTTGTTCCAAAAAATTGTGGAGCGAAAACTGCTCGGAATCTCAATCGATTCTTTCAGGAGAAAGAGGGCACTTAGAGTTCAAAGAGCAAAGTTTTTACCGTCTCCAATGGGCTGATCATCCCACATGATGATTGGCAAAATTGGTAATGTGCTTCCTACATACATCATCTCAGCTGCACCTCTGGCTTCCTCAACAGAAAGGTTATCAGTTTTGACACTCTTCAAAATCCCTTGCTCAACCAATTTGGGTGCCAGTTCAATAAGCCTTCTTGCAGTGCACCCTCGAAGAATTTTGTCAAAGAAAGGAAAGACAAGCTCCTTCTCTCGGGTTATAAACGCGACGTTAACATTTGGACCTTCTGCAATGCAACCTTTATCATCAACCCAAATGGAGGAAGATGCTCCTTTCTCTTCAGCTTCTATGACCGAGAGAACATTTGGAAGGTAGTTTACATTCTTCATGGTGGCAAACGAAGGTGACTTCATGGGAATAGTGGATGTTATGGCTTTAACACCTACTTTGCATTGAGAAAAGTTATCATCAATGACAATGGCGTAGAACGCGGATGTTGGACAACCTGCAGGTGACAGCAAGAAATCCCCAGGACCAGCACTCAGCCAGTACCTTAGAGTTCCTTTCCTGCACTGCGATGCTGATGTGAGCTGAATAAGAATGCTTCTGAGCACCGATTGAGGGAAGGGCGAGCAGATTTTTGCCTTTGCAGCTGACTGAAGGAAGCGATGAAGATGCACATCAAGCTCATATAGATAGCTACAGAGACAAACCATTATAGGATTCGAATTACATCGCAGCTAAACTAATATAGTACACACTTGCAGGTTAACTGAAGCAAGAAAAAAAATACAGAAAGTGTATTACCTACCCATCAAAGATTATAGCTGTGTCGAACACACCATGGCCTCGATGAACCATGTGGTCGTCGATGGGAATTACCATCATGGCAGGATCGAGAATAATCCCACCAAAAATACTAGAATACATAGCTGGGTAGGGTTGCTTTTCCACTGAACTCCACTTTTCATTCAACTTTTCAAGCAACTGAGTAATACACGAACAGGATTGTGTAAATTGAAACTCAACCCTAAGAACTCGAAGACTATATAGATACATACAGAGAAAGAGAGAGATAGTATCAAAAGCATACAAAACTTTGCAGAGAAATTGTTAACCTTTACAATGGAAACAGACAGGTATTTCTCCAACCAGCACAAACTGACATACGAAATTCTCATTGAAAAAAAAAAAAAAAAAATTGATTAGGTGCTTCACAATTCCAAAAGGGTTGACAAATTATGAATTAAAATTTGGTTTCTACAATATTTTGAGAAAGGTTTCAAAATAAACCGATCATATTTACAGGGATCTGACAATTTATCTTATTTTTTGGAACACCAAACCAAAATTCAGAGGGATACAGTGAACCCCTGAGGAGTTCTAACCCTCTGCACAACTTGGTTCTTTGTAAATTTACACAGCTTGCTTTGAGAATTAGTTCTCCAAACCTATTATGAAGACAGCAGCTTACTTCCTACACCACACTAAAGAGGATAAAGAGCATAGCGATGAGGGAAAACCTACCCTCCCCCTCCAGAAGGGTATGGTGAGGAAGGAAGCCATAATTAATCAACAGCTAAAAAGGAAGCTCGGAGTATTTTACCTCGGAGGATGAGGAGAAAACATGAACCTTAAAAGCACTGCCATCTTCAATCCCCAACCCAGCCATTTCTTCTTTCCAGGAAAACATGAAAACATGAGCTAAGATCAGAATAAATTTAAGGTCGAGTTTGGTTCGAACTTAAATTTTTTAGAATAGGAGTAGGAATAAGAACAGGATAAAATTTGAATAAAAATTATATTAAAGAAAACCTGGTTTATTATCAGGAGAAGAACAGATCTTTGCTAAGGATTGAGAAGGTGAGAAAACCAGAGAGACCCTTTTGCAGGAGAGTGAAGAAGAGCAATTTGGGTATTTAATACGAGAAGATGAAAGAGTTGTTGAGATATTAATTTAACGAAAACGATGTTGGGGTAGCACAAGGGATTTCCATTTTTGCTCTGCTAGCTGTTCTTACTCCTACCTGTTTTGTCTTCAGTGTTTTGGAGAGTGAAACTGGTAATTTAAAAAAATAAAAAATAAAAAAACATTTGATGGTGGGGGGGGAGGGGGAACCTTTTTATCTCTTACATCTGATCCGTCTCCTTCTTGTTTGTTCTTCAGTGTCTCAACTTTCTCGTTTGAGGAATCAGTTTCACATGATTATCTGATCTGTTTCAAAATTTCATTCTGTTCTTCCATTGTAAAAAGGAATACATTACAAATGAAATATTAAGTTAAACCTGTGTTTCCAATTGTACTCTCAACGTGTTCAAGGGGAAAAAACTAGTATCATATACTTCTATGTTAATTATATATGAATATTATATCCTTCCCAGTACAGTGTTTATACTTATTCGGTCGATAAAATATGATATAATAATATAATTTAATCAGAAAAGAGATGAAATGGCATATTATTTTGACCATGTTGCAGAGCAAAGACTGAATACAAGACGAAGTTCGGACGGCATTTGGCATTTGGCATTTTGGCCTTATCTATTGGATTAGGATATATTCCATATCTTTGAACTTATCTCTAACCCTCATAATTCTACATGCCAAGACAAATGTAAACATTAACATGAACAAAACCTTATCTGCTTTACTAGTATGTGTAAACCTTGCAGAATGAATACACACAGATGGATGTGATCGAAGAAATCATCAGTGCTCCATCAAGTGCCAAATAAGTAGGATACATGATCTGCATTGTTCATATGAAACTGAATAGTGATTGAGTTTTAACCTCAAAAGTTTTAACAGATAAGCAGGAATTTTTAAGGGTTTTGATCTATGGCTTTTCTTTTGGCTAAAATATATAGAACATTTTCTTGAAACATAATGGCCGACCACCCTGCCTGTGTTAGCCGCATTCTGCTGTGGATATCCCTTATATACAATATTTACCTGTTTAAGAATAGAGTGATTCTCACCCTTGCAGCTATTCTGGCTAGTACCAAAGAATCCAACTTAGGGTTACTTGTAGCTATTGGGCGATGGCAACTTGAATTGTCATTCTTACTGAGGATGCTTGGCATGTCTTTTATAGAAAGATTTTATCCTCCTGAAAGCTTCTTCAAGAGAGGATGGATCAGCAGCAAAAGTGATTCGAAGCCAATCTTTTAACCCCACCGCAGTTCCTGGAAATGAATATACTTTCTCCTTTATCAGTTCTAGAGTTGCTACTAAGAAGAAAAAAGTTCTAAAGAATAACATATATGAATTCGGCGGAATGGAATATGTGTTTTGCAGAACGTATAAAGAAATTCTCCATGAAATAATAAGCTGGGTCATTGGTTGCGGTTATCTTAAAATTTTAAACTAATAAAAAATTATGCAACTTTATTTATATTCTCGCACGCATAAGTCCACTAAACCTACAAAGAGAATGTCTAACCGTTCCCCCAAGATAAAGAAGACAATCAAGAATATCAGAATTCTGTAAATTTTCATTTCTCACCTGGAAGAATAATCACAGATTCCTCTTTCGCCAGCTTGAAACAAAAGTCAATGTCATCACTTATATCATCCAATAAGGAAAGATTTAGTTTCACCTGCAATACATTTGGGCACAAAAAGCAAAAAGAATGAAGTTATTTATGAGTTGAATAATTTGAATAAATAGAAGAACAAATTCTACTACTTCCTCACCATCACAGCCATAGATCCCTCTGGTTTGTGGGGACAACTGATGCATGGGATTTCCTTTATCCTATCACAACAGATGTCTGATGAGTGCTTCAGTGTATTAATCGTTTTCTTGAAGAAAAGCTCATTGGTTTGTCCAAGGATAGCAGGAACTGCCGCCTAACACACCCAAAAACAATATCGTCATGAAATGGGAGTTGGGACTGTAATAAATGGATTCTTAGCGAGAGAACTAACATGTTCAGCTCCCTTATCAGATTTCGAAGGGGAAGTTGCTTTCCTAATCATACATGGAATTTGATAACTACAACAGTTTTTTGTTCTATTGATTGATATGGACATCTAAGCTTTTGTGGAAGCCATAGCTTGTATAAGAAACTACCAAGTCGTAGATAGTGCACAAACCTGAATGAAGGTTGCAGGCCCACCCAAAATATCGAAATACTTCTTAATACGCTCAACAACCTGCTAAAAAGAAATCAAGAAGTTAACAATTTTATGATGACATATTTTCATGTTAACCATCAGATTTGAGATATGCTAAGCAGGCAAGGAAGATACTAGTTTTCTTAAAGAATGCCCAAACCTAAATAATTACTATCATAAAACGAAAAAAAGAAAATTGTTGAATAGTAAGACATCTTAGAAAAAATCTCCAGACTAAAAAACTAACAATTTCAATTGTTTATAAAAATTGGGCCAAAAATTCTAATCCTTCATGCATTTAGAGTTCAAATGAGCAGGAGAAACAGATAGAGAACCTTAGGCTTTCTAAATGTGCCGCTGGGATCATTAGTCACGAACCAACCAAGTCGCCAACCAGGCACTATCCATCTCTTTGATAGAGAGCCGAGAGTAAGAACAGGAACAATTGATCCAAAAACTCCCATTGACACAAATGGAGTACGCCCAAAGGCAAGGTGACCATAGACCTCGTCGGCAATTACAAGGATTCCTAACTTGTATGCAGTTTCTGCAATCTAAATACAAAGGTACTCATATAGATTCAAATAAGGTACTCATATAGATTCTGTTTTTCCACTTGAATTTGAGTTTAAGCCACTAACCATCTTCAGATGTTGATAACTGTAAACATTTCCACAGGGATTCCCAGGATTTATAATCACCACTGCTACAGTGTTTTGGTCTGCAAGAGCTTCAATTGCATCCAAATCAACCTCCCAGCCTTTCTCAGGAAGAAGATCGAAATGCCTAACTTCAAGATGCCTAAAAGCAGCACAAAGTTCATATATAGGAAATCCTGGCCTTGGAAGTAAGATGTTTGCACCAGGACGAGCAAGCATCGCCAATGCAACATCGATGGCTTGTGTGCATCCAGATGTGATGAAAACATCATCTGATGACAATTTGTATGGAAGATCACGTGACAGATATTCCGCAATTGCCCTGTTAAAGATGAACGAGCAAAAATCCATTATAAGGTACAGATATGATCCAAAGCATGTTTGAAATGAACTCCTGATTACAGTGAATACAAAACTTTCAAGATTGAGAAATTGATCCTACGACCAATCAAAATGGAGGGCAGGAGTTGAAAGCCATGCCTGCTATATTACTTTAAGGTAGCTTTGAACTAAACTGCTTTGCTCCGTTTACGTTTTTTGGTTTCATTCAGCTCTGCCTCAACTTAGCTTCAATCAAGCCAGTAGTTGATATTGTAAAAATAAATGTGTTTTTGCAAGTAACTGCTTTTTGGTTCCGTGTTTAGACAAAGACACTTATTTGAAAAAATACATCTTTATTCTATATTTGAAAAGAATATATAATGGTAAATGAATAATACATATTAAGAAACCAAACTTCCAAATCGATGTATAGCAAACTAAAAAAAAACAAGAAAAGTTAGGGGAAAAGTGCTTTCTTTTCTAACTTAAGTTGCTAATTGACACGACTTTTTCCCTTACCAGTTAAAGTTGCTTATTGGGCTTTTACATTACCAATTAAAGTTGATTATTGACATAAAAATTATTAGGTACTCCGAGAACGCAGAAGAGTTACCAGACCCTATAAATATAATTGGTATATTTCTTGACAAAGAAATTACAATGCATACAAAGTTGTTGTGCTCCTAGAGTTAATAATAGCTCAACAATTAAATTACTTTGGATCATTTATCTTTATTCTCCTATTTCTCTCATAAATTTCCTCTATTTCTAAAGTATCGGCTGGATAAGTTAACTAAACTGCAATTCGTCCTATATTTGTTAATGGATAGATCACCCAAGTTCAGGTCCATAAGCAATAAGCATTGCCCTACAAAAACTTGCTTTCGCTATGGCGCCTACGGATAAGCAGCAAAATTGCCCTATGAAGACTTGCTTTCGCTATGGCTACTGTGGGTTTCAGTTAACCAGGCCACAGCAGTATCTGAGCCTATTTGCTATCCCCACCTTCCACCAAATATCTACTACTAAAAAAAATCAAACTCCTCCATCTTGCCACCGAGAAAAAGGACTAAACCATTGACTACACCCACCACCAGTCACCACTAGGAGGTGGTTCACACCATCCTCAACATTAGTTCAGAAAGCTTTGACCAGGCATTCGAGCCGTTTTCAACTATTGATTCCACTTGAAGCCTTCA